ATTGTGCAACCACTTCTGGCAGTTCCTCAAAATGCATTTTTTTAAAAAGCTACCATATGGGATGCCTGGGTGGCTCAGTCAGTTAAGTGTCTGAATCTTGATTTCAACTCAGGTCAAGATCTCACAGTTTGTGGGTTTGAGCCTTGCGTCGGGCTCCACACTGTCAGCTCAGGATCCTCTCTCTCTGCCTTCCCCTACTCCTGTGCTCTCTCTCTCTCTTTCTGTCTCAAAATAAATAATAAAAATGAAAAATAATAATAAAAAACCCTACCGTATGATCCAGCAATTCTACTCTTTGGTGAAGTGAGAACACCCATGAGAACTGAAAACATATGTCCACAGAAAAAGTTGTATGTGAATGTTCATAGTGGTATTATTCCTAATGGCTAAAAAGTAGAAATAATTCACATGTTCGTGAGCTGATGACTGGATAAACAAATGTGCATATCCAGGTGATGGGATATTATTTAGCCTTAAAAAGGAATGGAGTACGAATACATTCCATAACAGAAGAACTTGAAAACATTATGCTAAAGTGAAATAAGCCAAACACAGAAAGTCACAGATTGAATGACCCCATTGATATGAGATGTCCAGAATAAGCAGATCCATAGAGTAAACATAAAGAGACCAGAAGGAAACTAGTAGTTGCTATGAGCTGTAGGGAGAGGGCAATGGAGAGTGAATGTTGATTGGTATGGATTTCTTTCTTTCTTTCTTTCTTTCTTTCTTTCTTTCTTTCTTTTTATAAAGTTTATTTTGAGAGAGAGAGAGAGAGAGAGAGAGAGAGAGAGAGAGAGAGAGAGAGAGAGAGCGGGAAAGGGGCAGAGAGTGAGAGAGAATTCCAAGCAGGCTCAGCACCATCAGCACAGAACCCCACGTGAGGCTCAAGCTCATGAACCATGAGATCATGACCTGAGCTGAAATCAAGAGTCAGATGCTCAACTGACTGAACCACCGAGGTGCCCCTTTCTTTCTTTTTTTAATTGTGGTAAAATATACATAACATAAAATTTAGCATTCTACCTATTTTAATTTTTTTGAATGTTTATTTCTGAGACAGAGAAAGACAGAGCATGAGTGGGGGAGGGGCAGAGAGAGAGGGAGACACAGAATCCGAAGCAGGCTCCAGGCTCTGAGCTGTCAGCGCAGGGCCCGATGCATGCTCAAACACATGAACCGTGAGATAATGGTCTGCGCCGAAGTTGGACACTTAACTGAGTCACCCAGGCGCCCCATCTTTCTACCCATTTTAAAGTGTACCGTTCAATCTGGTTTCTTTTTGGTGAAAATGTTCCAGAATTAGAGAGTGGTGATGGTTGCACTACTTTGTGAATATGCTTTAAAAAAAAAAAAACAACAAAACAATTGTACCTTTTAAAAGGGTGAGTTTAATGGTATGTCAATTATATCTCAATAAAAAGAAATCTATACATAACATCCTAGTCATTTGGGAAAAGCAAATCAAAACCACAATAAGATACTGCACACCTGTCAGGGTGACTATTATTTCAGAAAAAAAATAAACGGAAAATAACATGTGTTGGTGAGGATATAGAGAAATCCTTGTGCATCGCTGGTACAAATGTAAAATAGTACAGCTGCTGTGACAAATTTAGTGGCTCCTCAAAAAGTTAAACATAGAGTTACCATATGATCCAGCAATTCTACTTCTGGGTATATACTCCAAAGAATTGAAAGCAGGGACTCAAACAGATATTTGTATACTGACGTTCATAGCAGCATTACTCACGATAGCCCAAAAAATGAAACTGCCCAAATATTCATCAACAGATGAGGGATAAACAAAATACGGTGCCTATATAAAAGAGAAAATTACTCAGTTTTAAAAAGGAAGGAAATTTTGACACATGCTATAACATGGATGGACCTTGAAATCACTATGCTCAGCGAAATATGCCAGACACAAAAGAACAAATTTTGTATGATTCTGCTTATGAGGTACCTAAAATAGGCAAATTCATAGAGACAGAAAGCAGAATAGAGGTTATCAGGGGCTGAGGGGAGAAGGGGAATGGGGAGTAATTATTTAATGGTTATAGCATTTCTATTTGGGATGATGAAAAAGTTCTAGAATGGGCAATGGTGTTGGTTGATGTGCAACATTGTGAATGTACTTAATGCCGTTGAATTGTATGGTTAAAATGGTGAATCTTCTGTTATGTATATTTTGCCACAATAAAAAAAAGAGAAATATTTAAGTCCTTTTCTTTAGAGGTTCTTGTAATCTAGTAAGTCTGAGACTTGTAGGATGAAGGGTTTGGACCCTGGAAGTGTGTGTGTGTGTGTGTGTGTGTGTGTGTGTGTGGGTGTGGGTGTGGGTGTGTGCGCACGCGCGCGCGCAACGGAGTATCAATCGCTCAGCCATCAAAAAGAATGAGATTTTGCCATTTGTGACAACGTAGATGGACCTAGAGGGTAGTATGCTAGGTGAAGTAAGTCAGACAGAGAAAGAGAAATACCATGTGATTTCACTTATGTGAGCAATCTAAAAAACAAAACAAACGAACAAATGGAAAACAGAAACAATCATAAATACAGAAAACAAACTGGTATCTGCCCAAGGGGAAGTGGGGGGGGGATGGGTAAAATAGGTGAAGGGGATTAAGATGTGCAACATTCCGGTTACAAAATAAATATAGAGATGAAAAGTACAACACAGGGAATATAGTCAAGAATACTATAAAAGCAGTATAATGTTATGTGGTGTTGTGTGGTGACAGATGGCAGGCATTGAGTAACGGATCGAACTGTCCAAGCACTATATTGTTCACGTGAAACTAATAAAACACTATATTTAAGTTTTTAAAAAGATCACTTAATTAATAAATGTATGAGCTGGGATATGAATGATTGAATGAATGAATGAACGAACGAACGAACCAACTAACTCATCTTATGGTGCCAGGGTTTAGAATTTTGACATATGCTTGCTCTGTCATAAGAGCTTTTAAGCTAGCCAATGTTATTTTTAATGTTTTGAATAGGCAATGCATTCATTGAAAAAAGAAAGTAATGAAAGTCTCCCTCCTGGCCCTGTTCTCTTTCCACCTACTTCTCACTATAATCCCACCTCCACTCCAGATACTCATCTTGATAGTGTATTGTGTATGCTCTCTTGCTTTGTGTATGTAGATGCAAGTAAATATGCATGTATATCCTCATCCCCTTCGTCCTTTATTTTATACCAAGGGTTAGTTACCACCATTCAGCTTAGGCTGTTTGCTTTCTGCAAGACTTGGCTACCTCTCTGGTGCAAAGTATACCACGAAGTGAATCTCTGATTGAATTAATTATCTTTCATCTCGGCGAGATTCTTCATGCAGAGAGTTACATTTGTTTGATGGTAATTCCATATTGAAATCAAATTCGGGCCAAACTCCAGCACTGCCAAGTCTTACATAACCAACAGAACCTGAGCTTCCAACCAACTGCCATATGCTGTGAGGAATAAAACCAGAGGACCGATGCAGATGGTTCTTAACAGTCACGTTCTCACTCTCAAAATCTCTAGGGGGAAGAAACCAACTTATATATATATAAAATATATATGTTAATATATATTTTTAAATATACATATTTTAATACATGTGTATGTATGTATGTATGTTTGGGGTAGAGGGATATGACCCTTATTGAGCTTATCCACCAGAGTGGAAATAATGTCTGTATAAAACAAAATGTTTGTTACTATGACTTCTACATCACAATTAAAATCCAGTCAACTCTAGGGATGCCTGGGTGGCTCAGTCAGTTAAGCATCTAACTTCGGCTCAGGTCATGATCTTGGCGGTTCATGAATTTGAGCCCCGCGTCGGGCTCTGTGCTGACAGCGCAGAACCTGGAGCCTACTGTGGATTCTGTGTCTCCCTCTCTCTCTGCCCCTTCTCCGCTTGTGCTCTGTCTCTCTCTCTCAAAAATAAACATTAACAATTTTTTTAAATAAATAAAATCCAGTCAACTCTATCAAAATACTTTAGAATCAATAGCTTCTCTGAAGCCACAGTAACACTTAAATAAGGTTAAGACTCAAAAGCAGAAATTTGGTTGGTTGGAAAGCTAATTAAACTTCCTACTTGCTCAAATAGAATTACAAAAGAACAGAATTGTGTTTTTCACAGAGACAGAGTCCACTGGACTCACCAACACTGGACAGCTGTCAAGAGTGTTTAGTCCTGAGATCATAAGGAATCCAGGCATCCTTGGACAAGTATTCTGTCCTTGGACAGAATTCTTGTCCTTGGACAAGTATTCCCAATCAGAGATTTGTGGATGTGACCCCACCACCAGCAATTGTAGCCTTAAGGAGCGAGTCTAATTCTTCATCTCCACAAATAGCAAGTTGCAAGTGATGAGTGGTAATATGCTTTACCTTCAAGTCTTTTGATCATTTCCTGCCAGTCAGAGCCCCTCTGCGGTGACGTACTTACTCCAGGATGGCTGCATTGTACATGGTGCAGCTGTGCCCACACGTCCATGGCTGTTCGTCCTAGATTTCAGGTGTCCATGAGTATGACCCACCAGGAACTGCAAGCCAGCTCTCTACGAGAGGAACCTGCCTTTGTCTTGACCTTACTGGAGTTCTTCCCAACCTTGCCACCAGCTACTTCGAATTCTGCTGTAGCTCAAGCAAGCAAGGCAAAGAAAGGCCAATCAGACACCTAGAAAGATCTCACCACCTACTCCTTCGTCATACCGCCATTTAAAATGCCAAAAAGATATATATATCAACAAGAGGTTATTATATATCATGCCTCTTCAGAAAACACTCTTTTACTCTTTTTTCTCCTCCTAGTTAGAGGTTATTAGAAAATTACATACAAGAATATTCATTTAAGGTGCTTCCTGGAATGGTTTCACTCAGTGTTCCCTGAGGGTGGGGGACCCCAAGGACATATGGGGAAGAGGGCATGTGCCCCTTCCCAAACCACTTCTCTGGAGCTTGCTGGTTTTGTTTCACCTTTATGTTTCCTCCCCAGGTACTGGCGGAGAACGTTGGGCATGCAGGTCTGCTATGTTTACCATGAAGATTATCAGTTCTGTTATTCCTTCCGGGGCAGGCCGGGGCACAAACCTTCCATCCTCATGCTCCATGGATTCTCTGCACATAAGGATATGTGGCTCAGTGTGGTCAAGGTGCAGTTCTAGATTCTTCTCTCTCAAGAGGGGGTCACTCAATAAAGAAAAGGGTGTCCACTTGCATGTGATGTCATCAGCAATGATAGAAAGCAAAGGGAACCCAGAACTGTGGCTCAAATCATCTTAAAACTAATTCAGTATCCACGTAACCCTTGAGCAACATGGGGGTTAAGGGAGCCCACCTACCATGCAGTCAAGAATTCACGTATAACTTTTTTGCTCCCCCAAAACTTAACTACAAATAACCTACTGTTGACCAGAAGCCTTTACCAATAACATAGATGGTTGATTAATACATATTTTGTATGTTATATATATTATATACTGTATTCTTACAATAAAGTAAGCTAGAGAAAAGAAAATGTTATTAAGAAAATGGTAAGGAAGAAAAAATACATTTACTGTACTGTATCGAAAAAAATCCATGTATAAATGGATCTGCACAGTTCAAACCTGTGTTGTTTGAGGGTCAACTGTATTATTCAGATCCTTTTCTCAGAAAAAATTTACTGAGTTGAGTGTTATTTGTAAAATCTGTACCCTAGAAATACTTTCGTCTCATGAATATTTCTTAAGGTTTCTGACACTCACCTTCCTCTCAGAATTTGTCATGATTATCAAGATCAGGTTAACAAAATCATTTATTCTTTTTCAATGTTTATTTATTTTTGAGAGAGAGAGACAGAGTGCAAGTGGGGGTGGGGCAGAGAGAGAGGGAGACACAAAATCCAAAGCAGGCTCCAGGCTCTGGACTGTCAGCATAGAGCCAGGCGTGGGGCTCAAATTCACCAACTGCGAGATCATGACCTGAGCCAAAGTCGGATGCCTAACCGACTTAGCCACCCAGGTGCCTCAAAATCATTTATTCTTTTATACTCCAAGTATCTCCTCCTCCTTCCCCTCATTCTCCCTTTTGTTCTTCTTCTCTTTCTCCCTTGCCCTTCCTCCCTTCCTTCTACTTTTGTTTTTGTTTTTTTTTAATTTTCCTGAGTCATTTAGAGAAACCATCTTTGTCTAGCAGCTTCCTGAGATTGGTTTTCCAATCTGTCCTGGTTTCCTTGGGTGTGGCAACTTGCATTATTGGTCAGAGGGACCAGGTGGTGCAGGTGGAGGCTGGGAGAGACTCCCACCTCAAGCAGAACTATACCTGAATGATTCCAAGTATGATCTACACGAGGGGGAAAGGGCTCACACATCCTGTAGTTCCTTGTGTTCTCATCCCCAGATTCCACTGGAAGGACAGGCATCCCCATGCCTTAATGAACCTCTCGCTTCCTGCCCCAACTCAGATGTTTGTTTGTTTATTTTTGAGTTTGTTTGTTTGTTTGTTTGTTTATTTATTTATTTTTGAGAGAATGAGGAATAAGCACACAAGAGAGAGAAGGGCAGAGAGAGAGGGGGAGAGGGAGAATCCCAAGCAGGCTTTGCACTGTCAGTGCAGAGCTCCATGTGGGGCTCAAACCCTTGAACCGTGAGATCATGACCTGACCTGAAATTAAGAGTCAGGTGCTTAACCGACTGAGCCACCCAGATGCCCCTCAGATGTTTTTTATGTAACTGGGTATTTGTTTATTGGTAACTGATGTTTCTCAGTTTCCTGGTTCAAAGTGGCACAAATATAAGTGGAAGGTATTTTAGGATAATAATCATCCCAGGATTTAGACATTAATGCAAAAAACAAAAA